ACTATTACTTGTAGCAAATTCTAGAATGCTTGTGAATTGTGACTCCAGATCCGGGTGGTAGTAATTAATACAGTTTTNTCACACTAAGTAGAAGTGTACTAAGAATATATCCTTAAGTAATGTTAGTGATGCACTAGCCTATACATTGATAATTACACAGTGGGTAGAAGTCTATTAATGGTATACTTGATAAATATTGGTGATTGTTTAATTATCTTAAATTGACAACTAAAGTAAGTAAAACTATATTAGCTATATCGTTAATTAATATTAATAATTTATTAGGCAATTCATTGATAATTACATTAAGTATAGAAGTGTAATAGTTACAATTAGCTTATAGATATTGATAATTATACTAAGTAGAAGTGTATGCATTAAGGATATATCTTTAAGTAGTGTTAGTAATTCACTAGCCTATACATTGTTAATTATGCACTAAGTAGAAGTTTATTAATGGTATACGTGAATTTTAAATTGATAACTAAAGTAAGTAGAAATATATTAGTTACATCATTAATTAATATTAATAATTAATTAGCTAGTATCCTTAAGTAATGTTAGGTTCAATTACATGGTAAATTGGTAATTATATTACGTAGAAGTGTATCAGTGATAATTAATTAGCTTATACCCTTAAAAATGAATTTTATACTAGACAAAATAGTCATTTAATTATTAGCTAGTAAACTGATTATGTGGTAAATTCATGTGAGACTAATACTAAAAGCTACTAAATATATATATATATATATATATATATATATATATATATATGCAAATTCTACTCTCTCTTTTTTTAATATCGAAGTTATGTGATTGTCTCCTTAATTTTTGGATTAATTAGCATATGCTTAAAATAAATAAGTAAAATGATAAGAGCTTATTTTTGAATTCAATTGAATTTTTTTAATTAGTTAATTAAGAGCTTAATTATATAGCTATTTTAATATCAAAATTTTGCTGCCTTTGTTAGTTTTCAAATTATGGCCGGGCTATTCTATTATAAGTTTGTCCGTTTACTTCCATTAATTATATGCACATCCTCTTAGGAAATATAACACGGAAACATTTATATTTTTAGTATTATAATATTGTATATGGCAAGTGCAATTGATTTTGATATTCTAAATATTAGATTGTTTTGTGTAGTCGTTCAAATAAGGAAAACTTTAATAAGTAAAGTTTTAGTTGACTTCAAAATACTAAATATTAGTTGACTTTATTTAGCATTTTTAGAATTTAATTACGTTTATTAAATATATTATTAAATTGAAAAAAAAAAGGAATATGTTGGTCTTATTTAAATTTGGGCCAAAGACAATTCTTGCAGCCCAAATCCCCTCAAACCCGCCTTGCCCAAATCCCTCTATCCCTATAATTCCCCTTTCTTCGCAAGAGAGAAAAGATCAGATCCCTTCCCCCACCCAAAAACCCTAGCCTTCCCCTTCTCCATCTTCATTCTCCTAGCCGCCGACCCCCATTCCCCTTGGTCAATTCCAGCCGAAAACCTAGCACAAGAGAGACACGAGCAACAACCCCATCCTTCCAAAACAAGAAAGCTCTCAGACGCTACTGCCGACGTCCATGGCTCGCCTGAGCTCGGCCAAATCCAGTCGCCACTGCTCACACCTTTTCTCCTCTCACCTCTCTTTGGACTCGAAGAGAGATATGGAATTCTAAAAAAAAAACAGAAAGAAGAACTGGACATTGGGATTTGAAGAGAAAAGTTTGATTCCTTTTCTTCCCGAATTTCTACAAGCTGTCAAAGCTCAAATTTGTGATTCTTGTGTGCTAATTTCTGTTGGATCTGCGCTGCCGAGTTTCTTACTTTTTTTTATCTCGCCTTAAATGGCGTTCTCCTTGAGATTCTGCACTTTAGGTATTTCCTCTCATCTCTTATTTAATGTGCGTTCAAGATTGTTATACAACATGCTGAAATTGGAATGATATGGTATGATGTTTTGGTTAAAATATGATTCTTTATTTCTTTTAGTTTAGTTTAATTACAATCACATACAGATTTTTAGTTACTCTATAATTTTATGGTAATTACTTGATAGTATACTCTTTTTTCTTTTTCATTCACCTAAATTAAATAGCAAATATATTGTAGTAGCTTATTTGCATTCTAGTTTATTATTACTCTCGATCTCCTTTAATTTCCTTTCACTACTATTTCCATTTACCAAATATTAGAGAAAAACTATGGCAATATAAGAGAAGCGGTATAAAGTACATTTAACTTTGAGGACTAACTTCAAAGATCCGTGATATTGTCCGTTTTAATTTGGGCAAAGTCTGCACAATTTTTCTCAAAAGGCCTCACATATTAAGAGTATCCCTATATCTAGTGAAAGTAATATGTTGCTCAAAACTTAGCCGAAGTTTCTACTTCATGGTATGTATGGTAGTCGATGTTCCCAGGTTGAAGTTTATGAAGTTAGGTGCTGAATTATTCCATTCTAACTCTTCGTGTATTTTTTTAACTTCTCTTTTGTGGATTACAAGGTATTGGAACATCCACCATCGTGCAAAATGAGGACCTTGAGGAGATGCGGCAAATGATTCAACAACTTTCTAGGAACTATGCGGATGAACGAGAAAAAAGAAAGCATGAAGAGAAGATTAGAGACGCACTTAGGAATGACATCGAGCCCCTCAAGGCTCAAGTGAACCACTTAATAGGCCTGCCCCGCTCTCCGCCAAAAAGCCACATTTATGAAGAGGATAAAAATGATGAAAATAATATAAATAATGAAGAAGACGAGGGAGAATCCGAAGATGAGGAGTGATTTTATGCTTGGTTAGATTGTTGTTTAGTTGGATTGTTGTTTAGTTGGATGTTAACTTTGAATATTACATTTTGAAGTTTGGTTGGATAGTTTTGATGGGATAATTTGGATGTTTGGATAGTTTATAAAGTTTTGTTGTCATTAATTTGTGTTTTATTGTGGTTGCATTTCTGCTTCTATTATAATATTGGCATGTCTATTGTAATATTCTGGCTGGCAGGTGGTGCTGCAAAAAATAAGCACTCTCTGCCAAAAATGTACCACATTTACTGAGGGACTTATTGACAGAGTCTGTCAGAACACTTATTCATTTTCAATCCAGAATTCTTAATTAGCGAGGGAGTTCGTCAGTAGACTTGAACAAAATTTTCAAATTTTGTTGAAAATACTGACGGATATTCATCGGAATATGAATTTATTCATATTTTTAATTTTTAAATTACTAAATTAAAATTCTAAATTTACCGATGGTATCCGTCGGTAATATTAAATTATTATTTTTAATTTACCGATGGATATCCATCGGTATTGATATTATTAATATGATATTATTTTATAATATACCGACGGATATCCGTCAGAAATGTACCGATGGCTTTCCGATGGGGTCCATCAGTAATTACCGACGGAATCTGTCGGTTTATTTTACCGAGGAAGGATTTACCTACCTACCACTTACCGACGAACTTCCTTCGGTAAAGCCTTATTACCGAGGGACGTCCGTCGGTAATTTGCGTCGGTAAATATGTAATTTTTAGTAGTGATAGTATCCACAGATAATTTAGATACAAACCGTAAGTGGAATAACAATCATTCGGCCGATTGCTGAAGCCACAAACTTTCGAACCAACAACCTTCTGAACCCACAAAATTCATAAACTTCCGAACCGCTAAACTTTCGAACCCGTAAATTCTATAATTTCTAAACTCGCAAACTTCAAAACACATAAACCTCCGAACTTATGACTTTGGAATTCGTAAAATTTCGAACCTATAAACTGAAAAATAAAAAATCAGAACTGAAAATATAAATTTGTGGNGGTTAGCAAGGTAGGTGGTGACGAAAAAGAAAAAAAATAAAATCTGAAGAAGAAAAAAACTTTTTTGAAGAGGGGGTGGGAGAGAAGGGGGAGGGGTGGGATTAGATGTAAGGATAGATGGAGTTTTTTGAAAATGTTTTCATAAATTTTTATAGGAAAATTATTTTCCTCCAATTTCAGGAAAATGTGATATTTAGAAAAATATTTTTCAAACTATTTTGTGCAATCAAACAGTGAAAAATAAAAAAATATTTTTCCGTCATATCAAGCACACCCTTTATCTTAGACTATGTCATCTTAATATTTTCATTTAAGGGCTTTCGAATACGTGAAAATTGGATCTCCTAGATCCATATACCAAGAAAATGAAAATATTTACGTGCTAAAAACGGGGTTACATTTCTATCTATTAATACGGGGGAATAAGCAGGCAACAGGTCAATATGCCTCCTTGGGATTCAAAGGGTAGAATCGTAATTTCATTTAAAATGGACCATAATGATTGGTCAAAATAGAATTTTACTGTAGCTCATGTTTAAATTTGTAAATATCTTAGACTAAATTGCCCCTTTACTTATGTCATCATTAATTACTGCACACTTTCCCATACAGTTACATAAAAGTTTTACAAATAGATTGGAGTTCAGAACCCATTTGTGTTCTTTTAGACAACTGTGACGGAAATGTGTGTTTAAAAATAGCGCTATATATATAATGCCACTGTTAACCGCGTTATACATGGCTAATAAGATAACTATGCATAGCGCGGTATATAACCGCGCTATATATGTATAGCGCAGTTATATACCGCGTTATACATAGATAAATAAACAGTCCCCCTCCTTCTTCCCCACATTCGAACGAGACGACCCCCCACATTTCAAAATTCTGAATCGATCCTCCTCCCCTCCCCCCCAAAAAAAAAATAATTTCCTTCTAAAAAATTATAGTGGACCTCACCCGTCACACAAAAAGATAAGATTGTAGTTCCCACATCCTAGCCAAGCCTTTTATTGTTGTGGTTTCCTGGTTTCGGGCTCAAATTTTTAATTCATCGACTTTCCGAAAAACATAAATCGAGGTATTCCGATTTAGTTTATGTCGAAACTCGTATAATAATGCATATTAGTTGTTTTGAATGTGTTTCCATGTTGTTTTGTATTTTTTTGCGATTAAATTAGTATGTTATTTTTATCCGGGCTAAGATATTAGTGTTTTGTATTTGTTTTGTGATTAAAATGTATTTGTTATTTTTATCTAGTTTAGATTATTTATTTGCTTAAAGACTAGTGCCCTTTTGAGCGAAATAAAATGTAGAGCCTTTTAGCATAGAATTCATGTAGTTTAAGTATCTTTTATACTAATAGATCAAACACAAACTCTGCCCAATTTATAAAAAATAATTATTTAATTTACAAATCAAATATACAAAATTATAAAAATATTAAAATTGACACACATAAGAATTAAGGATAGCTTGGTACTAATGGGCCTTAAATATCGAGCCTGGAACCCATAGGTATATACTATGTCCAATTAAATATGATAAAAATTAATTATTTAATTTACAAAATAAACATACAAAATTATGAAAATATTAAAATTGACACACATAAGAATTAAGGATACCTTGGTGCTACTGGGTCTCAAATATCGAGCCTGGAACCCATAGGTATATACTCTGTCCAATTAAATATGATAAAAATTAATTATTTAATTTACAAAACAAACATACAAAATTATGAAAATATTAAAATTGACACACATAAGAATTAAGGATACCTTGGTGCTACTGGGTCTCAAATATCGAGCCTGGAACCCATAGGTATATACTCTGTCCAATTAAATATGATAAAAATTAATTATTTAATTTACAAAACAAACATACAAAATTATGAAAATATTAAAATTGACACACATAAGAATTCAGGATAGCTTGGTGCTACTGAGTTTCAAATATCGAGTTTGGAACCCATAGGTATATACTCTGTCCAATTAAATATTGTATAATTCTAAAAAATAATTATTTAATTTACAGATCAAACATACAAAATTACGAAAATAATAAAATTGACACATACAAGAACTCAGGATAGCTTGGTGCTACTGGGCATCAAATATCGAGCATGGAACCCATAGATATATACTCTGTCCAATTAAATATTGTATAATTATAAAAAATAATTTTAATTTACAGATCAAACATACAATTAATATTGTTTAATTTACAGTAGACGACATGGACGGTGCCGCCTATGCATCCCGGACCTGTCTCCGATGAGCTATTAGTGTTACAGGGCGATCATAGGTCCGCCTACGTATGAGAGGGAGAGTTACTGGCCCAGACTATCCGCGCCAGGAGAGTGGACGACATATGGGATTTTATGAAGGACAGAGATCTCCATCCCCGTGTAGTCCAGCGCCTGCGGGATACGGGCTTCTACAGGATTTTGGAGATCGGGCGGCTGCAGCTCGACTGGTCTTTGATCACGGCCCTGATAGAGCGGTGGCGACCGGAGACGCACACTTTCCACCTGCCCATTGGCGAGGCCACCATCACGCCGCAGGACGTGGAGGTTTTATATGGGATGCATGTTGATAGACTGCCCGTTGCACTGCCTCAGGCCATGAAAGAGATGACGCGTGGGCAGTATTTGGACATGCTGCAGCCGCTCACTGGTTTCAGGCCACATGATGAGATTGCACACTCAAGGGCCATTCGCCTGAGTTTGACAGCTATTCGACAACATTTGGAGATATTGCACCCCAACATCACCAGGTAGAAAGATGATTTGCATATTCACCAATATACGAGGTTGCTGATGCTCTTTCTGTTTGGGGGGTCTTGTTCCTGAACACTTCGGGGAACCTAGTCAGCTTGCGATTTCTTCATCATCTTCAGCTGCTAGATGATTTACCCCAGTAAACTGGGGTGCTGCTGTTCTCGCCTACTTGTACAGGCATTTGTGTCGGGCGAGCATGGGCACCCAGCATGACGTATGTGAATTTTTGCCGCTTCTACAGGCGACAACATATTCGAATACTCTGTTAATTCCTTCCAATTCTATACAGTCAAAATTTATCTTAAACTTTACGTCAACTTTGTATGTTAGGTTTGGGCCTGGGAGCGGTTCCTGCAGTGGCAGCCACCTCTACCACCATTACCTCCGGATGTACCACCTTCGTTTCTCCCTCTAGCTAGGAGGTGG